TGAGAAGTGAATGGATTTTTGTATTAAAGAGTACCAGAGATGAATTGCTACTTGTAAAGATTTCCACGAGAGACAATTTACTCTCTTTCCAACAAGAGTGCAGAAAAATGGTGGTGCAGAAAAATGACAGCTGGGGAAATGAGAGCCACAAAAATAGCCTGGGGACACATTTTACCCGCTTTTGCTCTAGAAAGTGCCCAAAGGTTACTTTCAGATTTAGATGCCACAGGCAGGGAAGACTAGCCACGAAAGGCAACCTTGCATGCATATTTGCTCTCAAACACCCACACATTACTAATCTGCCTGGTGCTTTCTTCCTGCCCCAAGTTCTCAAACATGCTTTGTGTTCAGGCTTGGGCAAATGAGGGAAGACTGAGAAAATGCTTCCTCATTTTGACCCTACTAAAGGGAAAAAGAAGCAAAAATTGGAGAGTGGGCTCCCCTGAAAAAGCAAAAGTCTCATCTCAGGGTGTTTAAGAAATGGTTATTTTACTGGTATGAAAGTCCAACACATTTCAACCAGTGTACACACTGAAAGCCTTCTTGAGGAATCTCCTTAGAATCCAACTTGAGAAATTTCTGGACCATTTACTGAGCAATTAAAAAAACACAATCTTTTGAGCTTTAGTAAAGAGCAAACATTATTCATTTGGTCTGTTCACTCCCATAATGGGTACGTCTCGATTGTCTGCCTTGGCCATTTCTCCAGCCCTATCCACTCACAGCCTCAGTACTGCAACCAGTTCCTTATTTGAAGGAGTTAATCCAGGGCATGTGAAACTCTTCCTTGAAATAAAGAGCACATGTCAAGACTGCATTATTCCAGCTACATTACATCAAAAGCTCTGGGGTTTGTTGGTTTATTTGTTTACTTGCTTGTTTGATTGCTTGTTTTTTGCATTTCCTTATAGTTTTCTTGCTTAGTTCTTCAGTGAATCACTAGATTGTTTAACAAAGCTATCTGTATCATTAAACTGTAGTGTCACCCTTGTCATAGAAGGTTGCCAGTGGTCGCTTTTTATCCTCACCTACTCTATAATTGAGCCAAGACAAGGATCATTTCAGTATATCAGCCCCCAAGAAGAGACTTTATTTATTTATTATTTATTTACAGTATTTGCATTCCACCCTTCTCACCTTGCAGGGGACTCAGGGCGGATTACAATGTACATATACATGGCAAACATTCAATGCCACAGACACACAACATATATAGACAGACACACAGAAGTTATTTAACTTTCCAGCTTTCATGAGGGTATTCTGGTCACCAGGGGAGCTGTTGCTTCACCGTCCATTTGTGACACTGATAGAGTACTTCCTCATTCTTTTTTTTGCTTGCTTGCTGGAGATTTTATGATGTTGTAAATTAGTTAAATTAGCCTCCCCGCATAAGCGGTACCTAAATTTCCTACTTGACAGATGCAACTGTCTTTCGGGCTGCAAAGGTTGACAGCAAGCTACACAATGGTTAGATGCTCACTCCGACCCAGGCTGGCTTCGAACTCATGACCTTTCGGTCAGTAGTGATCTTAATGTAGCTGACTCACAGCCAGCTGCGCAACGGTCCTGGTGCAGACATGTGCATGTAGCCTTACCATTGATGTTGTGAGAATACTATATGTGTTTCATCCCACCCCTGTTTTAGACTACAACTTCCAAATGCCCCATATGGGGTGGCTAGTGTTCATGAGTTAATACATGATCAGAACAAAACATATGAAGGCCTTCACAGTGACGAAAACTGCCATCGTATGTCATCTCAGATTTAATCCTGAACACATTTCATCACTTCCAAATAAATATAATTCTTGCTTAGTTCAAAGTAAACTATTAATTTCCCTATTAACATCCAGTGTCTCCCTCACAGCACTCAGCTATATCACTTTGATACCTTTTTCACAGCTGTAGCTCCATCCTGTAAAATTCTGGCATTTACAATTTCATGGAGTACAGTACTTAGATTTCTCCAACAGGGAGTTTTAGTGCCTCATCAACTGCAGATCCCAGGATTCCATAGGATACAGGCCAGACTGTTAAAGGGCTTCTTTTTTTTTTGGTCGTGTCAGGAGCAATTGCTCCTGTTGTGAGAGAATTGGCCGTCTGCAAGGACGTTGCCCAGGGGATGCCTGGATGATTTTTGATGTTTTATCGTCCTTGTGGGAGGCTTCTCTCATGTCCCCGCATGAGGAGCTGGAGCTAATAGAGGGAGCTCATCCGCCTCTCCCCGGATTCGAACCTGCAGCCTGTCGGTCTTCAGTCCTGCCGGCACAGTGCTTTAACCCACTGCGCCACCGGGGGCTCTTGTTAAAGGGCTATCATACTGCTATCAGAATTAAACCCCATAGCTTGTCCCATCCATATCTCCCACCAAATAAACTACTCCCTTTTCCTATCTCACCCAATATCCCGTTTTTATCCTTGCGTCTGGCTCAGCCCACTTTGTTCAACTCTTTGTTTTTAACTTATTATCTTATCTCACAATTATCTCAGTGTTTTATCACTGTGTTATTTTTCTTTTATTATTTGTATTTCATTTGAGTTATTACCTGCTGTATGTATTTTATTTTGTTTATTGTATTGCTGGGCTTGGCCTCATGTTAGCCGCCCCGAGTCCCTGAGGGGAGATGGTGGTAGGGTATGTATGTATGTATGTATGTATGTATGTATGTATAAATAAATAAATAAATAAATAAAATAGCTGTTTGGTGTAAAAGAGACAAGGCTTATGGCCACAGGTGAAAGAAATGGAGGCTGGCCCAGGCGCCAATAGCTGTTGTTTAATAGAAAAAACAGTGTGTATAGGAGAATTCTCACAGAAGCACCAACATAACCCCAGCAGCTGTTTTGTGAGTTGTGTGTGTGTTTCCTGAGAGTTTCATAACAAGATTAAGCAATTTCAATGTCACACACACATTGCCATGGATACTGTAAATTATTGTCATGTGCGGCTTCTCAGTTAAGGAGACTTTCTGGATGTAGACACCTTCTCTTCCAGATACCTTTTTCTCCCTTTGGCAAAACAAGACATTTTGGTGCTGAGCTCCATAATCCTTTTTTAAAATGCCTGGCTTCCTTGCTAACTAGAACCAGAGTAGGAAAACAAAATTTGCACATTTGACTTCTTCCTATCTCCATTGCCAGGCTTGACTCAGGTTTGACTTGCAGAGAGAACCAGACTGTTCCAGTCTTTGAACAGACTTTGAAATTGTAGCAGGAGTGCTACAACTGTGTCTGGCTGGCTAATATACTGAGGCCCAATTCAGAAAAGACAGAGGTAGCTTTAGTCCAAGGCAGGGCAATGTTTGCTTTTCTGGATAATGTTGAATTCCACTTCCTATTAATCCTAGTCAGTTGGACTAATGATTTGGCAACATCTGGAAATTCCAAAGTTTCCTACCCCCATGTCAGTGGTCAGTGAGTGGCCATTGGTGCCCAGTTAAGTGCCATTCAGGGTACTTTGGAGACACAAAGGACTGACTGATCATAATTTGAACATTCTCACCGAACTTGCTCTATCAGTATTGGCAGCCTTACTGGTATAGAGCTACTTTTCCTAATAGTTCAGGCTAGAGGATTAGCTATGGTCTTAAATGAACACCCTTACACCAGTGATTTCAATGAGATTACTGCAATGTGAGGTATCAGAGGCTATTGTTGGAAGTGGTCCATAAATATTGATTAGACGAGATGAGAGGGCCTTCTCTATGGTGGCCCCTTGGCTCTGGAACTCACTTCCCAGAGATATTAGGCAAGCCCCCACACTGGCAATCTTCAGGAGGAATCTGAAAACCTAGTTATTCCAACGTGCCTTCAGTGATTGAACGTAAGATAGTCCCTGACCAAAAACTTTGCACAAAATGACCTCAGTAGCACTTTATCTTATGGTTTGAGCAATTAAATCCTTCCTCATCCCCAGATCCTCTTCCCGATGTTTGACATTGTCCTATCTCCCAGTGTTTTAAAATTTTATCTTTAATTTGGCCCTGCCCAGCAAAACCTTTTATGTTTTAATATCCGATTTTATATTGTTGTGTTGCTTATTACATTGCTTTCCATTTCATGTATTTTATTTTCTGGTTTTATTATGTTCTTGTGTTATTTTGTTGTGTATTGTACTGATGGGCGTGGCCTCATGTAAGCTGCACCGAGTCCCTTTGGGGGAGATGGAGCAGGGTATAAATAAAGTATTATTATTATTATTATTAGTAGTAGTAGTAGTAGTAGTAGTAGTCAAAAAGATGGTGCAAGATTGCTAATTGGGACTAGATGAGACAAACATGTTCCTCTAGCACTTTATTATATTCACTGGATTCCAAAGACCACTCTAGTCATCATTTAGTTTTAGAATTAGTAAGTAATAGCCCCAAGGGTCTCAAAAGGCCTTATGTTGTGTATGGAGTAAAAATGAAGGTACACATCTTGGAAGATGTCCCAGGGTGTGTGGCTAGCCTTGCAAATAAGTTCCCTTTAAATACTACATTGCCTCCTTTCCCTCATTGTTATTATGTAACTTCAAGTCATTTCCAACATATGTTAATATTGTATATCTTCAAGTCATTTCCAATTTATATCAATCCTAAGACAAAAGTATCATAAGATTTCTTCACAGAATGTTTGCATTTGCCTTCTTCTGAGGCTTAGAGGATGTGACTTGCTCAGTGTCATTTAGTGGATTTCCATGGCTAAGCAGAGATTCGAATCTTGGTCTCCAGTATCATGGTCTGATGGCCAAGCCACTATACTGTGCTGGCCTTCTATACCGGAGTAGTGTATAAAGGAAATGATCAAGCTAATCGAACCAAAATAAAATACATGACTGCAATTTAAAGAAGCAAATTTGAAAACACATTCTGGAATAATTAGAATGGGAACCTCGTGGATTATTGTTTAAAATATCCTATTGCTATGCTGTTTTTCTGTTTCTTTGACTTTATATCAATGCAGCATCTATTGTAGCCAATGTACAATCTGATAAGACTAATCTCTTTCCTTCCTAGGTCTGAATTGTTGGCACCATGGCTACAAGTGCTGTTCCAAGTGAAAACCTTCCTACCTATAAACTGGTGGTGGTTGGAGATGGGGGCGTGGGAAAGAGTGCCCTCACCATTCAGTTCTTTCAGAAGATATTTGTGCCAGACTATGACCCAACCATTGAAGATTCATACCTGAAGCATACAGAAATAGATGGGCAATGGGCAATTCTGGATGGTGAGTTCTATGTTGTTGTGTTCCTTCAACTTATGGTGACTCTAGGGCAAGTGTTCTCAAACTTTTAAAGCCATAGAGCCCTTTTTGAAGGAAAAGTTTATCATGGAGCCCCAAGAAACTTTTGGATACAGGAGCTGTGTTGAATTTTAAAATTTGACAGATAGGCCAAGACAGTAGCAGATGGATGGAGAATGTTTGTGTGAACTAATTTAAATAAACATGAACAAATTTCTATGCACACTGCACATATCTTATGTATAGTACAAAAAGAAAGAAAGAAAAATCAATACAATGTTTAAAATGAAGAATTTAACTAGCATAAACTTAACAGTATTTCAGTGAAAGACCCAGGGTTATCCAGTCCAACCTTCTTCTGTCATGCAGGAAAAGCATTCCCAACAGATGTCCCAACAGATGTCCATCCAGCCCTTTAAATAGTAATAGTAATAAGTAAAGGTTTCCCCTGATGTTAAGTCTAGTCATGTCCAACTTTGGAGGGTGGTGCTTATCTCCATTTCTAGGCTGAAGAGCCAGCATTGTCCATAGACACCTCCAAAGTCATGACTACATGGAGAAACCCAAAGGACACCCAGTCCTACTTCATTCTGCTATGCAGGAAAAGCGCAGTGAAAAGCACCCCCAACAGATAACACTCCAGCCCTTGAAATACTATAATAATAATAATAATAATAATAATAATAATAATAATAATAATAATAATAATAATAGAAACCCCAGAAGCTATTCCCATAGGCTGTGCCATTAGAACAGACTCTATTAAAAATGGTGTAGAGTGGTAGCAGAGATGGCAGCAAATCTGCAAATAATCAAATTGGGCTGACTGTATAACTGAGAACTGAAAGATCAGAACAGCAGAAAGCAAGTTGGCAGTACAGAAAACGGGGAAGGCAGAAGCTGAAAGTCTGCTGGGAAAAGAGTCTAATGGCAGTTCCACACTGAAAAGCAAAGAACATCTTGTGAGCTGGAGGCAACAGACCTTAACAGGCTGTGGTTCTTTGGGGAGACAAAACTCAAACTATTGTGCTCGTTACCAGGAAAGGCTGTTATCAAGGGAATTTTCAAGTTTAACATCAGTAAAGCAGAGAGATTGATTGTTTAAAGTCATCCAATGAGCTTCGTAGAGAGCAGGGATCTGAGCCCAAGTCCTTAGTCTGTGTTCAAGCAACTCACGTCTGTTTTCACAAATCCATGAAAAAGAAAAAGGAATAAAAATAAGTTTGAAGCCATCCCTGAAATTAATTCCACATTGGGGTCATGTTCTGAGGGTGCGGGAGTGGTATAAGCTTTTTAAAATGGACATTTAGAAAGCACTCCATTGACTCTGAAAAGAAATCCAACTAACATTTTTGTTGTGGTCTTTATAGGAGATTATTATCACAAGGCATATTCATTCCTTAAACTGTAAATTATTATTCAAGGAAGGCTTTATGTTCGCCGCTTTCTCTCCATGCCATTATTTTCATAAGTCCTCTCCTTGGGTCAGCACAGCCAGTTGCTAATGAGCTAGATGTATTTATACACATGTCATGTTTATGCATACCCAGATCAAATCCAAGAATTAATCCTGCTGGACTGGTTTGCTTCAATCTAGCTTTGCACAGTTTCAATTAGATAACTCAATTTAATTCTAATTTTCAAGAAACATTGCTTTCTGTTTGCATCCTTCAGTCTGATGCAAACAGAAAGAGGTTTTAAAATCATCATAGAGTAGCATTTCTCAACGTAGGGGTCATGAGGGGGTTTCTGATGGTCTTAGGAACTCCTTTGGCAGAGAAGGTTGAAGATCTCTCCGCCTGTCCTTCTCTTCCTTTTTAGAAACAGACGGCGAATCCTTCCACCAAAAGCTCTCCTCTACTGTGATTGACCTGACTCTTAGCTGGCCTCTCAGCCAAGGAGAGGGCTGTTTTTGAGATTCCAAGCGAGGAGAGCAGGCGTGCTTGAAGCACAGCAGTGTGATGCACATGTGCAGACAAGGAAGATCGTGCGAGGCTGGAGGGAGGCTCATGCCAGCAAGTTCTTCAAGGCATGGGGTCTCTGTGTGGGAAGTTTGGCCCAATTCTATTGTTGGTGGGGTTCAGAATGCTCTTTGATTGTAGGTGAACTATAAATCCCAGAAGCTACAACTTCCAAATGTCATGGTCTATTTTCCCCAAACTTCACCAGTGTTCACATTTGGGCATATTGAGCATTCGTGCCAAGTTTGGTCCTGATCTATAATTGTTTGAGTCCACAGTGCTCTCTGGATGCAGGTGAACTACAACTCCCAAACTCAAGGTCAAGGCCTACCAAACCCTTCCAATATTTTCTGTTGGTCATGTGAGTTCTGCATGCCAAGTTTGGTTCACTTCCATTGCTGGTGGAGTTCAGAATGCTCTTTGATTGTAGGTTAACTATCAATCCCAGGTACTACAACTCCCAAATGACAAAATCAATTCCCCACAACCCCACCAGTATTCAAATTTGGGCAAATTGGGTATTCGTGCCAAATTTTGTCCAGTGAATGAAAATGCATCCTGCATATTAGATATCGACATTAAGATTCATAGCAGTAGCAAAATTACAGTTATGAAGTTGAAAGGAAAATAATGTTATGGTTGGGGGGTGACCACAACATAAAGAAAGGTATTAAGGGGTCGCAGCCTTAGGAAGGTTGAGAAACACTGTCATAGAGGATATGGAGAAGTTTTAGCTAAGCCAAAAGTTATGGAGAATTCTTAGGCTACTTGCTCATATGAGGTAGGAACAAACAAAAACTGACATTGTATTGAGGGAGAAGAGGCATTTTGTACAATTTTAGAGGTCTAGCAAGTTAAACTCTAGGTAGCTTATACTATTGCATTATCCATCAAGCATCTTCACAACCCTATGATTTTGTGACCAAAATTCTAAGTCTCCTTAAGTAGGAACAAATTCCATAGGAATAAATCAGACTACATTCTAGGTAAATCTGTTTAGAGTCAGCTATTATGTCTTGAGACCATAATAATGGGGTATGCGTAGAATTTAATTCAGTCTTCGGCATTTCTGATAGTGTACTAGGCAGAAGCAAAGGACTCAGATGCATATATCTGTCTTTGCTCAGAAGTGAATTCCACTTTGGCAAGAGTTTAGTCCCAAACACAAGTGTACATAAGGTTGAAGCTTAAATTCTTCCCATAAGCTCTGTCAGCATTTCTTGCAGTGTTTTGCTTGGCCCACCTCAATATGTACTCAAGCCTCACAGTGAAACTGTAATGTCTTGGTTGTTCGTGTCTGCACAAATAGGAAAAAACAGCTTGGGAATCAACTGACCAAAAGTTGAAGGGCCAAAGTTCATTCTGAAATCCTCCAGTCTTGCAGGGTTGTTGTCACTGAGTAGCTTGCTTTTATTTTCCTTGATATTTTTTAAAGTCAACTTCCTCAGTCAAGAGTTTGCCTGTATTCTGTAGTTCTTTTAGAAAAGGAAAAATTGCACTTTCTGATTTATTATAAGCACAGCTTTGTCGTGGTACCCACCCCCATAAGAAAGGGGGAGGAAATGTTCCTTCACAGAAAAAGGCCAGAGTCAGACCGGATAGAGACATTTCTTTGCCTGAGGCAGGAAATCAAGAAAGTACCCCCTCCTTTCATTAATTAACATGGAGCACAGTATACCCAGAAGTTTTACACTCCAGGCCTCATTAAAATGATCTACATGCTGCTCTTTATAGACCTCGTTCCTTTCTGTGAGCTCTTTCAAGAAAATGATCCTATTGGTTTTGCCCATTGGGATGGGAACATCTTCATAGTTCCCCAAATTCTTTGCTTTGTATCATAAAGGCTCCCTTGCAGGGATTTAATTCTTTCTCAAACCCATAAATGAGAGTGGTAATCTTGCATCCCAATGTGTATGTTTATATTTGATATTATTTTCTTTCATTCTCGCAAAGAGAAGACTTTTTTCCTATAAAGAAATAAGGTTCAATCTTGTCCGTTTCACTCCCGGTAAATTCTCCAAGGGCACATCTAGTTGTTAGAGTGGTCCAGCATTTCTGTGTTTTCAAATAACATGCTATGTCCACGTTGGTTCATCAGGCGCTCTACTATGGCTGGCTTCTCTGATTGAAGCAGTCTGCAATGCTTTTTATGTTCCTTGATTTGTGTTTGTGTGTTGCGTTTGGTGGTCCCTATGTAGACTTGTCCACAGCTGCATGATATACAATCAACAACTACCATGTCAGATGACACAGAGAAGCCATAGAAATCCACAAACGTGGGCAATTTCAACAGAAAGGAGGAAACCATGAAAATGAACAAAATCTGGCCACCAATATTTTAAAAGTCTCTAAAATTAGAACAGTAAAGAAAGAACATCACCCAAAAACAGGGGAATTCCAGACAAGAAACAATCAGGGCCTGCTAATCATCTCCCGACAAAGAATTCCCCCAGGCAGGAAGCAGACAAGCCTTGAAGCTGCAAAACTTTTCAATGCTAATCAAGGTAATCAATTGCAGCATTCATGGTTGCTTCCAACAGCAAGAGTTCTTTCTCCCGCCCGGGACATTATTCCACAGATATACTGTATAAACCTCACTTGCCTTGTTTCCAACAGACCTCACAACCTCTGTGCATGTCTGTCATAGATGTGGGTGAAACATCAGGAGAGAATGCTTCTGGGACATGGACATTCGGCCCTGAAAACTCACAGCAACCCAGTGATTCCGGCCATGAAAGCTTTATACAACACATTAAATATGTTTTGTTTGTTATTTTTCTATCATTGTTTGATTTATCCTAGCATAGAGAAACTTACTTTTTGGACACACCTGGTGCCGTCTTTGGTGGAGATGATTAAAGGCTTTCTAAAACTACAGCTCTCCTGATTCTATAGCACTGAGCCTGGAAAACTCACATGCTTACACAATTTACACTCCACAACATTCTTTCATTTCTCAAAATATTCCCAAAGTTTCTCCAGGCACTTCTGAAAACATGGTAAAAAAAACATGTTTTATGCCTTGCAGATTCGCCACAAATTGGTTTGGTAGTTTAGAATAAAATGTCATTGCAGAAAAATCTTCTCTCAAACAAGATTCTCAAAAAAAATTAAGAATTGACCTTTATAGTTACGCAAGCAAACAATACAATAAATCAAACAATAAAGCTTGAAGAACAGGTTTCCAAATTGTTCCTATTCAGACATTTTTATGTACAATAGTTCACTCAGACTCTGTGTGGGAGACAGAAGACATCTGTTGTTATACATCACTGCCATTATCCCTCTCTGTGTTCTAAATGGAGGTGGAAGGAATGGGCCTCAATGTTACCTGTCACATCATCCTGAAGTTCTTATATGGTGTTTACCATCTATAGTTGCCATCTGTAGGCCTAATTCATGTGACAATTTAAGGACATAGATTCGTGGGAATTGTTAATTTTTATTTTCTGAAACATGGCAATTCAGTATAGAGAGAAAAAATTAACTCACCAAAGTAAATATCAGCATGGATGGGCATCACCTTTTTTTAGTGGTGATGGGGAATATGCAGAGACTGGCCATGAGTATACTACAATGAGAAAAAAGGCACATGTGTATATTCTCAGCTTTTTAATAAAAAAAATCTAAAACAGATTCTTAGCCTTGCCAGGGAGAAAACCCAGCAAATCACTTCTGGTGTGAGAGAATCAGCTGTCTACAAAGACGTTGGCCAGGGGACTCTCAGATGTGTTACAATCCTGCGGAGAGGCTTCTCTCATGTCCCCCAGAGACGACATCTGCCCTTGCACTTTGCTACTCTGCTGCTGAATATGGATGCCCAATGTGGAACACATCTCACAATGTTAAAACAATGGATGTGGCTTTTAATGAGACATGCCACATTATCACAGGATGTCTACGCCCCACATCACTGAAGAAATTATTCTGTTTAGCCAGTATTGCACCACCTGACATCCACTAGGAAGTAGCAGCCAATAATGAAAGGCCCAAGGCAGTGACATTTCCGGCCCATCCCCTGTTCAGATATCAGCCAGCACGCCAATGCCTTAAATCAAGAATTAGTTTTCTAAGATCTACAGAGATACTTGCAGGAATACCTCAGCAAGCAAGAGTCCAAAAGTGGCAGGCTAAAACTCAGAACCTCAATCAGTGGCTGATACTGAATGAGAAACTCCCTCCTGGGCACACAAAGACTGGGCAACTTGGAAGGCACAGAACAGACTGTGCTCTGGCACCATGAGATGCAAAGCTAACTTTAAGAAATGGGGCAACAAAGTGGGGTCCACAACATGTGAATGTGGGGAAGAGCAAACCACAGACCACCTATTACAATGTAGCTTGAGCCCTGCCACCTGTACAATGGAGAACCTTCTTGCAGCAACCCCAGAGGTACTCCAAGTGGCCAACTACTGGTCAAAGGACATTTAATATATGCCAAGTTTTAAACTTTGTGCTTTTTATGCTGTACCCTCATTTTGCTTCTGATGTGATAAATAAATAGGGAGAAAACAGCTATAGCTCAAATTAGAGCAAATCCAGACATTTCAGATAACATGTAGCAACAGCCTTATGTATACACTCCAAGATCGCAAGAGTGGATTTTGTTTTCACTTGAAATTGCTTGTGAACTGTTAACATTTCGGAGACAAGGTAAGGTTTGGTTTTTTCTCCCTGGTGCATCAGCTTTCCAAGTTCACTGATGGTTTGACACAAGGTGCTTTCAAGCTATTCCCAATATTCATTCCGGCGCAGTCATTGTTCCGTGAGAAGACTGTGCCACGTGTCAGCCCTGGAGACTTAAATCTGCTTGCAAGGTCTGCTAGTAAGGCAAGGACACAACATAAAAGAATGCAGTGACAATATCAACCCTTTTTTTCTTCCCTCACTTTGCTTTGCTTAATGGCTTTAGAACAGTCACATTGGAATGGCCTTGAAATGGTTTCCCCCCTCAATCTGATTCTGAAGAGTTACAGAAAGGCCTTTGCTTTCTTGGCTGTCAAGGGACGCATGTTCTCAGCACATACTCCCTAAAGTGCAGCCTCATAATCAGACTCATACAGTGCTTTAATGGATGGCACTGTATTTGCCTTTCCTGCCAGCCATTTCTGCAAGAAGAACAAATCTTATGTTTCAGCGGGGGGAAAGCCAAAGCATATAAATGTACAGAATCAGTCATTATAATAGGAGACATTTATATTGCTAGAGGTACTCTGCAAATGCGCACTGTAGTGTCAATATAAGAATGGATCTTTTTAAAAGTTCTTCTCTAAACCAGTGTTTCCAGTTTTGCTTGGCCTCTGGGTAGCATCAAGCCCACCATCATTTGTCTTCGGTGGCATCTGGGCACTGTCTCTCTGCCACGACCTGTGCTACCATTAGGCAGAGTGCATTGGCCACCTCAGGCAGCAGATATAGAGGGGCAATCTAGATTAGTCTTTTTGGCTGTATCGTTGAAACTTGTTTGCTGTTCTTATCTGCTGAGGATCAGAGCTGTTGTCTTCCATACAACCTGCCTTTGGCCCCCAAGTATGTCTGCTGTCTCAGGTGTGCTGATTTGAGTTTTGGTTTATGTATGTAAGGTTTATGTATGTAAGGTCGCAGGTTCAAATCCGGGAAGAGCGCAGATGAGCTCCCTCTATCAGCTCCAGCTCCCCATGGGGGGACATGTGAGAAGCCTCCCACAAGAATGATAAAACATAAAATACCCAGGCATCCCCTGGGCAACATCCTTGTAGACAGCCAATTCTCTCAGACCAGAAGCAGCTTGCAGTTTCACAAGTCGCTCCTGACATAACAAAAAAAAAGGCATTGAATTTTGCCATATTTATTTGTGTGAACTGCTTTGAGTCCCCCCCAGGGGTGAGCAAAGCGGTATATGAATACTGTAAATACATAAACGTGGTAGTTGTAGTTTTATAACATCTTTAGCCTTCTCTGCCAAAGAGACCGGTGCCTAACCAAAGTTCAACTTCCAGGAGTCCATAAAATTGAGCCATGGCAGTTAAAATGGTGTTAAACTGCATTCATTCTGCAATGTAGATGCACCCCAAGTCTTTACTTGAGTATACAGCTTGCTAATCCTTTATTACAGGTGTTCTTTTTTAATAGCCGGGCACACCTTTCTTTCCAGATGCAGAAGTATTGCCTTTCCAGTGAGCTCTGATACACTGTCACTCAGTGTTTTAAAAGCTGTCACTAAGTGTTTGGAAAGAGAGGGAAAGCTCAATATTGGCTTTAGAGGGGAATATGTTTCTATAAACCAAAAAGGGAGCAAAAGTGTTATCATAATCAAGGAAAATATTACAGACCTAAAGCCTGAGCTAATTTCACTCTGTCTGAGTCACACTCACTCATTCTTTGGATAACACCTAAGCAGCTGAAAGCCTTTACCTCTATGCTTTTAACCAAAGCATAGGGGGGGTTGATCAGCACCTCATCTGCCCTGTCCCCAGTAGTTACACACCATGTGATACAGACCTGCCATGGACATACAGTTACATATATTCATGTTTTCCTTTTCACATGTCCAGCTCAACAGGGAAAACAACGTTTTTCCTCCCTCCGTGTGCTTAGCATACAAAATGGGGACTTTTGTGAGACAGGGCTTGCTTTCAAATATAACACTTTGGATGGAGAGGATTTGTTTGATATAAGGTGATATTTGAGGCAAGATAACCACAATATTTTTGTTTATTTCCCCCTTTCTTGTTAGTCCTGGATACTGCAGGCCAAGAAGAATTCAGTGCAATGCGAGAGCAGTACATGAGAACAGGGGATGGGTTCCTTATAGTCTTTTCAGTCACAGATAAAGCCAGCTTTGATCATGTCGACAGATTTCATCAACTCATTCTCCGAGTCAAGGACAGGTGGGTGCCTTGGAACAATGGAAGCTTTGGATAAAAATGTATAGTGTTCAGCAATCAATACTTTCTTCAGATCTGGCCAGGAGATATTTTACTTATATGACACTTAAGGGGCAAGTTGCTGATTTTAGTCCCTGAGCAGATCTGATTATTTTTGGTAGATGTGCCATCCCTTCAGAGAGCTTCTGTTTGGTCTGAATTACCACTTTATTTACCCACATTTGACAAAATATGTCCTCTATATGCTGGAGGACTTAGCAATGTATCTTGCCTAAGCATTTCCTAGGACTTTGATGTTACTCTGTGGCAGTTTCTCAAACTCTGCTCCTCCAAGTGTTTTAGACTTCAGCTCCCACAATTCCCAACATCTGTTTTTTTTTAATGTCAGAAGCAACTTGAGAAACTGTAAGTCACATCTGTTGTGAGAGAATTGGCCGTCTGCAAAGACATTGCCCAGAGGATGCCCAGATATTTGATGTTTTACCATCCTGTGGGAGGCTTCTCTCATGTCCCTGCATGAGAAGCTGGAGCAGACAGATGGGAGCTCACCCCGTTCCCCAGATTCAAACCACTGACCTTTCGATCAGCAGTCCTGATGACACAAGGGTTTAACCCATTGCGCCACCGCTAGCTGGGATTTCTGGGAACCCAAGTCCAGAACACCTGGAGGAGCAGAGTTTGAGAAACACTGCTCTGTAGTATGCTTCCCCCAGAAGTTAGTTGTTTGTTTTCAGTAAGGTTTATTATTGCCCACAGCTTTACATTTACCTGTGAAGTCCTAGAATGTATCCTAATGGACATGGAGGTCATAGTATACTGTACATTTAATAAATAGCACTATGTACCATATTTTTTGTTTCTTGGTTATAAATGTAATTTTCTAATTGGTTCTATCATAAAAACATGAAAACTGCAAAAACGTTGCTTTTGTGGGGCATCCTGCAGCACATTTTGTTAAAGTTTTTCAATTAATATCTTGTAGAGTCTCAAACAATTCAACATAGCTTGTGGCAGCCACAAAAATGAAGTTTCTGGAGTATAACAACTACTTTCAAAGTAATTACCATACAATTAAACAGGAAATGACACTTTAAAACCAGAAACAGGTTGTTGTTTTTTTCAAATGTTGTTACTAGTGTTGTAGATACCATCCATTGTTCAAAGTAATGAATGTCTGTAACAGATTTGAAGTGCTGGGATTCAACCATGGGATTTCCAGTATGTGGAACACTCCCCATTTGTGGCATGACTCCAAACTGATTCAAGGACATTTTGTTTCTTCTTAAATGATCCAGACTTTCAATAATGCTTATGGTAGATCCGATGATATAACGTGGGTGTTAATCATGTCCTAAGTATTATACTGTAGGGCATATCACCTCACATTGGACAGAGATTGGTGTTTGAGAGTGAGACTTAAAACCACAATCTTCTACAGGAATGAGAATTAGTTTCTTTGCTCAAATGAGAGGTTTTTCTAATGGAAGAAAACAGAGTAGAATTAACATGGCACTTAGGAAACTGAGGAGTTTGTACTGATTCTGTCCTATCCTTCTTACCTTTCAGAGAGTCTTTTCCGATGATTTTGGTGTCCAACAAAGTTGATCTAATGCATTTGCGAAAAGTCACTCGGGAGCAAGGAAAAGAAATGGCAGCAAAACACAATGTATGTTCATTTGGCGGGTTCTCAGAGAATTATGTGTTGCGACATTTCTTTTGCCACTGTCATCTCCAGTGGCCAAGGTCCCTGGTCCAGCCAGTCTCTGCTGTTTCCCTTCAAGATGTTCATTGGCAGCAGGGCTGATAGAACTTTTAATGTGGATCAACTACCAAACAGGAAGATGATGCTCACTCAAAACTAATTGTTATGATCTTAGTAAGGGGGTTAATCAATAGTGGAATTTATGATTGACATAAATTTGGGGTACATTATGATATCATACTGCAACAGGACTAGAGAAACGTGTCCCTTGAGATGCTATGGCATAGGATGGTGAATTCTGAAGGATTGTGGAAGTTCTAGACCAACTATATTTAAAGAACTACTTGTCTCTCAACCATAGACTTCTGAGAAGGGATTGAATGAGGCCTTCATTCTCCCAGTGGCAGAATGGAATGAATGAGAAAGTCTGTTTTTTTTTAATCTGTATCACTTGTTTTAAGCATCTTTCTTGCTCATAATTCTGTTCTGTTTTATCATTTAATCTGTGATTTGTTAAAAAAAACCCACAGATTGCTCTCAAAATAAGTGTGTAATATGTATTTGAATATATTTAAACTGGCACAAACTACTCTGTGGTATTCAAAGACATTGATCCAAGAGCTAAAGATGAGGTCAGTTCACACAGAAACCTAAAAAGATCAGATTCCTTTAGCATTACTGTGTGAAGTAATATAGTCAGGAGACAAAGCTGAAGTTTAGTTCTACTAAGATAGCATCTTCATTTAACACTTCCTCCTTTAGGGTTAGCTTTACAGAGCTGCAAACACTCTCTCCATTAATATGATGGAGACAGAATTGGATATATTAGGCACCAGAAAACATATCTAGGGTGTAAAGAAGATTCTGTCAAAACAGACTAATGATAGCAGAGAATCTGATGGACCAACCTGGACACAGCATATTATTTGAGAACACAGAAATGCTGGACCGCTCTAACAACTACCGAGTCAGACTACACAGAGAACACATTGAAATCCACAAGCACGTGGACAATTTCAGCAGAAAGGAAGAAACATGAAAATGAACAAAATCTGGCTACCAGTATAAAAAAAACCTCTAAAATCAGGACAGTAAATAAAGAGCAACACTCAAAAAACAGGGGAATTCCAGACAGGAACCAATCAGGGCCAGCTAACACTTCCCAACAAAGGATTCCCAAGCAGCAGGCAGCCAGGCTTTGGAGCTGCAAGGCCATTAAATGCTAATCAAGATGGCCAATTCAACATTCACACTTGCCTCAAGCAGCCAAAAGTTCTTTCTCCCACCCTGGACATTATTCAACAGATATATAAACCCCACTTGCCTAGTTTCCAGCAGAACTCACAACCTCTGAGGATACCTGCCATAGATGTGGGCAAAACATCAGGAGAGAATGCTGCTGACTATACAGCCCAGAAAACTCACATCCACTAAGATTAACAATACCTTTCTGTAGTGCAGAAGATCTAAAATAATATCAGTTACTCTGATGGCAAAATATAAGTGCATTTCAAATGTGATGTGTTTTTGTGGAAATTCCATCTCCGTTTTAATGGGATTGAACAGAGCTGGAGAAGATATTTAACAAGGAATTTAAAAAAAAAAAATCTCTATGAAGAAAGCTTTGAGAAAAGGAGAGAGAGTATTTTGGAGAAAGATTTCCTGTCTGTGTAGGCATATGTGTGTAATTATATATATTAGTCCTACCAAATTGTATATACATGTATTTGCTTGGATATCAGAATACAATGTCATTCTTTGTGTATTTTGCATGTGTCAAATGAAATTTTTGAAATGCCATGCAAGACATTTTCACTGTAATATATATTTAAAAGGTACTGCGTATTTGTCTTCCAGATTCCATATATAGAAACCAGTGCTAAAGACCCCCCATTAAATGTTGACAAAGCTTTCCATGATCTTGTTCGTGTAATCAGGTATGTAGGCTTGAATTTGCCAAAGAGCAACATGGTTTGCAAGAGGTTCATTAATCAATTCATCAGCAATATGCTGAAGCAAGATCTTGCTTACATCTCACTTCATCATCAGGTTAATATCATTTATTTATTTATTTATTTCAATTACTTATACCCCGCCCTTCTCACCCCCGAGGGGGGACTCAGGGCAGCTTACAAACAACGGCACAATTCGATGCCTGAATCAATAAACAAACAATACCTAAAACAATTTAGACAGTTAACAAGTTAAAAACATTAGTACATAATAAAATAGCAAAACAATCTCATGCTCAGTGTTCAGAGTTCCGTATATCCATTCCATTCCATTCGTCCATGTTTGTCGTCAGATCTTCCTTTAGCTGCCAGCATGTCCAAAAGCTTGGTCCCATATCCAGGTCTTCAGTTTTTTCCTGAACGTCAGAAGGGAGGTCGCTGATCTAATCTCCCCGGGGAGTGAGTTCCACAGGTGAGGGGCCACCACTGAGAAGGCCCTGCTCCTCGTCCCCGCCAACCTCACTTGTGATAGTGGCAGAGTCGAGAGCAGGGCCTCCCCGGACGATCTTAAATTTCGAGGTGGAATGTAGAGGGAGATCCGTTCGGACAAATACACTGGGCCGGAACCGTATAGGGTTTTGTAGGTTAAAACCAGCACTTTGAATTGTGCTCGGAATTGGATTGGCAGCCAGTGGAGCTGATGTGGGGGTTGTGTGCTCCCTGTATGTTGCTCCTGTGAGCAATCTGGCTGCCGCTCGCTGGACCAGTTGAAGTTTCCGAACAGTCTTCAAGGGCAACCCCACGTAGAGTGCATTGCAGTAGTCTATTCGGGATGTAACAAGAGCGTGGACCACTTGGCCAGATCAGACTTCCCAAGGTACGGGCGCAGCTGGCGCACAAGTTTTAATTGTGCGAAAGCTCTCCCGGCCACCGCTGAGACCTGGGGTTCCAGGCTCAGCGATGAGTCCAGGATCACTCCCAAGCTGCGAACCTGCGTCTTCAGGGGGAGTGTAACCCCGTCTAACACAGGCTGTAACCCTATACCCTGTTCGGCCTTACGACTGACCAGTAGGACCTCTGTCTTGTCTGGATTCAATTTCAATTTGTTAGCTCTCATCCAGTCCGATACAGCAGCTAGACACCGGTTCAAGGTCTGGACAGCCTCCTTGGTGACAGGTGGAAAGGAGTGACAGATTTGGACATCATCTGCGTAGAGATAACATCTCATTCCGAAACTCCGAATGATCTCTCCCAACGGCTTCATGTAGATGTTAAATAACATCGGGGACAGAACTGAACCCTGTGCGACTCCACACAACAACGGTTGTGGGGTCGAACAGGTGTCACCCAGTAACACCTTCTGGGTCCGTCCCTCAAGGAAGCAGTGCCCCCAAGACCCATGTCCATGAGGCGACCCAGAAGGATACTGTGATCGACGGTATCGAAAGCCGCTGAGAGGTCCAGCAGAACTAACAGGGACACACTCCCCCTGTCCAGTTCCCTGCGAAGATCATCTACCAAGGCGACCAAGGCTGTCTCAGTTCCATGTCCCGGCCTAAAGCCAGACTGTGCCGGATCCAGATAATCAGTGTCTACCAGAAACCCCTGGAGTTGTGTTGCCACCACACGTTCCATGACTTTGCCCAAGTAGGGAAGATTGGAAACTGGCCGATAGTTGTTGAATTGAGTGGGATCCAGTGATGGTTTCTTCAACAGCGGTTTTATAATAGCTTGTTTTAAGCTCGCTGGAAATTTTCCTTCCTGTAAGGAGGCATTAACCATCACCTTCACCCACTCCGCCAAACCCCCTCTGGCTTCCTTGATCAGCCAGGATGGGCAGGGGTCTAGGATGCATGTGGTGGGTCGCACCTCTCCAAGGATCCTGTCCACATCCTCAAGCTGAACCAATTGAAAAGAATCCAATAAAACTGGACAAGCAGATGTTCTCGTTACATCCCCAGAGACTGCCGTTAACATGACGTCAAAACCCGACCGAATCCGCTCAATTTTATCCGTGAAGGATCGAGCAAATGCTTCACAGCGAGCCACCGAGTTGTCCAAGGCCTCGCTTTTTGGCGGATTTAACAGGCCCCTGACAACTCGGAAAAGCTCCGCTGGACGATTCTTCGCTGATGCAATATTGGCTGTGATGAATGTTTTCTGAGCTGCCGCTATTGCCACACCGTAGGACCTTAAAAAGGCATTCAGGTGTGTTTGGGCTGGATTGGTGGGATTCTGGCGCCACACGCACTCTAACTCCTCTTCTTTCGCTTCATCGCTGCCAGCTCCTCGGTAAACCAAGAGGCTGGTTTAGCTCGGTTACTCGAGAGGGGGCGTTCCGGAGCGATAGTGTCAATTGCCCTGGTCAACTCATTATTCCAACGAGAGACCAGAGCATCGACAGTATCACTAGCCAAGGAGGTGGAAAGATCCCCAAGAGCCGTCAGGAGTCCATTTGGATCCATAAGTCTCCTGGGGCGGACCATTCTAATGGGTCCACCACCCCTGCGGAGGTTAGGAGGCCCAGTTAGTCTAAATCTGATCAGGTGGTGATCGGTCCATGGCAATGGGGCGATGGTTGGCTCCTCCATCCCGTCACCCTCATCCCATCCCTGGACAAAAACCAAATCTAAAGTGTGCCCGGCACTATGGGTGGGACCAGATATTAGTTGGGACAGGCCCATGGTTGCCATGGCGGCCATGAAGTCCTGAGCCGCACCAGAAAGAGGGGCCTCGGCATGGACGTTGAAATCTCCCAAGACCAAGAGCCGTTGGAAGCTCAACGCCATGTCCGAGACCACTCCCGCTAGCTCAGGTAGGGAGACTGTAGTGCAGCGGGGTGGTCGGTACACTAACAGAATCCCTATCCTGTCCCGGTCACCTATCCTGAAGCCGGCACATTCAAAGGAAGATGATTGTGGGATGGGACACCTGATCAGAGGGATAAAATCCTTATAGACCACTGCGACTCCGCCTCCCATCATGCCACCCATTCATCTACTTAAACATATACTTCACTGTACAAATAATTATCTTCAAATCTTTTCAGAGCACTAATACAGATATATATAATTTCCGTGCCCAGAAATTGATCATTATCACAGGCTCATTGGTTGTTGGTTTGAAGCTTGCTCTTATATTTTGTTATAATGTTGTTTTATTCTGTTTTATGCTGTGGTTTATATATTTAAATGTGCTATATTTTAACTATGTTGATAGGGCTCGTCCCTATGTAAGCTGCCCCGAGCCCCTCCGGGGAGATGGAGGCGGGGTACAAAAATAAAGTTATAAGTTATTACATTATTATTATTATTATTATTATTATTCTCCTCAAAAATCACCCATTTTATCTCTCCATTACAAATAGTCTGCTGAAGCCCAATGAATGGCTTCACAGAATAATGGCTTCACTCTATTCATTTCACAACATACCTTTACCAGCTCTAGGACATTATATCAACTGGTGACTTCAGGCCTGATGCCTCCTTAGATGATCTCTAATGGTGGCTTTAAAACTTCATCCTCCTTAGGAAACCATGCTAGTCTGTGGAGTCTTGTTCCTCTGGTGATATCAAGACACAATCCCAGATATGTAATCATTTTTACTAGGCACTAGCTGTACCCGCCACGCGTTGCTGTGGCCAACCTTCCCTCCCTCTTTCTCTCCTTCTTTCCCTCTTTCCTTCCTTTCTTCTTTTTCTTTCCCTATCTCTTATCTTTCTTCCGTCTCTACCTGTTTCTTTCCTCCCTTTCTTTGCTCTTTGGTTACATCCTTCCTTCCCTATCTTTTGTTCCTTCTCTCCTTTCTTTCTTCTCTTTCTTTCTTTCCTTCTTTCCCTCCCTGCTTCTCTCCTTCCTTCCTTCCCTTTTTCCCTCCTCTTGTTACTTCTTGACTGTCCCTTCCATTTAATATTGTATTTATCTCTTAGAAAGAAGGAAAGGAAGAAGGAAGGAAGGAGGGACAGGAAGGAAGGAAAAGAAAGGAGAGGCAGGAAGGGAGTGAGGCAGGAAGGAGGGGATGAAGAAAGGAGGGAGGGAAGGAAATGAGGGGGAAGGTAATGAAAGGGAAAGAAGGAGGAAAGGGAGGGAGGAAAAGAAGGAAATGAAGAAGGAAGGATGGTTAGGAAGGAAGAAAAAGGAAGGGAGGGAGGGAAAGAAGGGAAGGAAGGGGGAAAAAAGGAGGGACAGGAAGGGAGGAAGGAAGGAGAGAGAGAAAGGAGGGGGATGAAGGAAGGAGGGAGGGAAGGAAATGAAGGGGAAGGAAATGAAGAAAGGGAAAGGAGGAAAAGGAGGGAGGTAAAGAAGGAAAGGAAGAAGGGACAGGAAGGAAGGAAATGGGGAGGGAGGGAGGAGAAGGAAGGAAGGAGGAAGGAAGGAGGGGAAGAAAGGAGGGAGGGAAGGAAATGAAGCAAGGGAAAGAAGGAGGAAAGGGAGGGAGGAAGGAAAAGAAGGAAAAGGAAGGATGGACAGGAAGGAAGGGAAGGAGGGAAAGAAGGAAAGGAAGGAAGAAAAGGAAAGGAAGGAAGGAAGGAAGGAAAGGGAGGAAAGAAGGGAAGGGAGGGAGAGAAGAAGGTCCTTCATTCAAGCACCGTGGACCTTCCTCCTCCCCCTCCCCCCTCCTTGCGTGGATGCTCCGTGGATGCTCCGTTGCTGCTGCTTTCCCAGCAGGCTTTGAGGCGGCGTGCGACGCGGCGGGGCTTGGAGTGGGCGGGGCTTCGGCTTTGGGGAGGAGGAGTGAAGGAGCATGGAGGATGGGGGCGTGGCCTGTCCCCCTCCTCTCCCCCCCCCCGCCTTTCCGTTCCCTTCCCAGCACTCGCCTCTTTTGCTGCTCTCTCCTCCCGTCGGCTGGGGCTTTTTTTCCTGCCGAGGGAAGGCTGCATGGGCAAAGGGCTCCACGTAAGCTCAGTTAGGCTCTCCAGCTTTGCGCGGCGAGGGAGGATGGGGGCGGGGCTTCGTGGAGGGAGCGTTGGCCGGCAGGCCATGTG